ATTACCCTTTATGTTCATTAAGAAGTATACAATAGTCAAATATCATGTAATAAGTACGAGAAAAACAATAATGTAACTTCCAACCATCAATAAAGGTATGTATTTTATAAAATTCTTTAGTACTGTTCAATGTATGTTATATAAATACGCATCCAGTAAGGGTTAGGGTATCATCACATGAATACGTAGTTATAACATCTCCCGAACTCGTAATTCATAGTAGGGGTTAGAGTATCATCGCATGAATACGTAGTTACAACATCGTTTGAACTCATAATTCATCACCTACATGTTATGAGCCTGCTGGTTTTTCCACATGACTATCTAGAATAGTCTGTGGTCACCATCTATACTCTGGTAGATGACTACATCACCACATCGCCGATCAAGGTTATGTTATCTCCTCTCATCTCACATCACCTATTTATCATCTCCTATCTATCATCACCTAATTATTGTAACATTCATAAAATCCAAGCCAATTTAAAAACTTATTAAAACATTCAAAAACCAATATTTATTACAAATTTGTTTTCAAAATAGTTTCATATTAGAGTATCCCAGAAAAAAAAAGTCATAAAATGCGAGGATGTGCGCGATCACGCCTTTGCCCTCCCGCGATCATCCGAAGTGCTTGAAACAAAATCCAAAACTGTAAGCCCGAAGCTTAGTGAGTTCCCTAAAATTACCGATACATACAAATAGCACATATACAAATAACAACATGTAATGTGTCCACAGCTCTACAGATTGGATTACCCCTGAGCCCACAGTGTGAGTCTGGCTTGCCTTTTGGGTCTACAACTTACATTTGACTTACCCCCAAGCCCACCACATAATTCTGGATTGCTCTCAAGCCCACGGCTTATGAATGGCTTGCTCTCTCAGTCCGTGGACTGGAATGCAAATGATTATCCCACATTATGAGTCTAGCATGCCCTGCCCGACCCTTAGCTCGTATCTGGAATGCTCAGGAGTCCTCAATATGAGACTGGTATGCCTTCCTAGCCCTAAGCTCATATCTGACATACTCCAGGGTTTGTTGGCTACCGTACGGAGTAGCACACCCTCAACCTATCCCATACAACAGGTCATCATTTATCAACTAAATGCACATACAGATAATCAGACAGTAACGTAGGTAGTCCTATAGATCTACCAAATTGGCATAGCAAACTAGCATGCATAACTAATACTCAACATATCACCAAATACTAGGATATCAGATCCAATGGGCCGGCCTTGGTGCCTTTGACCCCTAATTATAGTGAGGACAACTCATCTCACAAGTAGCTCGGGATGATAAATGTCAAACTCCCCAAACACAGCTACAAACTCAACCACCTACATCCAACAACGATTCACTTTCGTAAATTACCAAATTACTAAATATACCCCCCATAAGTCAAACCGGTCAATCCTTGGTCAAAGTGAAAGTTAACGGTCAAGTTTAACAGTCCATGTTGACCCAAATCGTCGAGTGTAGCTCACTGACTCGTCAAGTCCTTCCAGAAATCAAGAAATCGTGAAAACCCAAGTTGACTCGCCGAGTTTCCAGACAACTCGTCGAGTCCATGTATTGTCCAAATGTCGGGAAAATCCTAACTGACTCGTCGATTCGTCTCACTGACATGCCGAGTCCATGTAGAAACCAAAAACAGCCAATCTTCATCTGACTTGTCGAGTTGACCATGTACCTCGTCAAGTCCCATCAGTCCATTTCTCATTCATACGTTTTTAAGCTACCCCAAAGCTCCAAATTGTAGATCTAGCTTCCTAAGGCACAGATTCCATATAAAGTTGCAAACTTTACGTGCATGCAAAGTCTTAAATGCCAAACTAAGCTAATGGAGAGGTTTAAGCCAAAGAGAAGGGCCCAATCTTGATAAATTACACGAATGGTCCCTATGGTTTGGGGTAATTTGCAAGTTTGGTCCCTAACTTATTTTTTTAACTCGGAATGTCCCTATTGTTTGTTATTGTTACACGATTGGTCCTTATTTTTTGTTTTTGTTACGTGTTTGGTCCCTATCTTACGTAAAAAGACAACTATTTAAATAGGGAAAAAATTGTAGGGTGGGTAAGGTAAGGTGAGGGGATGGGGTTGGGGGTGTGTTTATTTAAATAAATTAAAAAAATCAAGAGAAAAATAGACTTTTTGTGTAACACAAGGACCAAACGTGTAACAAAAACAAACATTAGGGACCTTCCAAGTTAGAAAAATAAGTTAGGGACCAAACATGCAAATTACCCTAAACCATAGGGACCATTCGTGTAGTTTACCCTAAATTCAATAACTTTATGGGTATAAGGACTTAAAGGAGTCCAGATCTGAAGCTACAACTTTAGATCAGGCCCAATACCTGAAATGATCTACAAACATGCTAAAAATGCCCTTAGAACTAAGAATAAGGAGATCTAACACTAGAATGATCAAGGTAACAGGTTGTTACCTTCAAACAGGGCCGACCCAAGCCCAGGGTGAGCTGGGCCATGGCCCAGGGCATCAACTCTTTATGGGGCATCAATTTTTCGTGGTTTATTATTGACATTATAGTATTTGGGCCAAAATTCATCCAGGTTTAGTTCATCAGGGAAGCGTTAGTGTGGATACCTAATTAGGTGCTAACTGGAAAATCGATATATCAAGCGTCTCAAGCATCTGGGTTCTTCAATCCTGATCTAAGCAACAACCACACCTAATTAATGAAGATGAAGAAGACGAGGCGTTTGCTTTTGTTGAA